GTTTACATGGACACAATCCGATCATGAAAACAGTACATTCGGATTATTTAACCTGTCTAATCATTGCAGACAAAGACTTTGATTTCAATCCGATTAAAACATTTTGTGCATGTAAACATAGCTGGGATAATTTTACTTATTAAAGCTCATAATCTTACCACTTGAAACATCACTAGCCCTGAAGCTGCTGGTAGACATCACGGTTGGAATTATCAAAGGTTTTTGACACCTGAGAGACACCGTAGCAACTCCTTTATGTTTGGAAGCAGGGGGGTGGGGGTGGGGGGAGGACCAGGGAGGATGATTCAACCACTCAACCACTAGATGTCGCTGAAAACAACAAATGCTACACACTGTGCCTTTAAACACCTGAGAAAATTCCATCAGTACAGAAAATATGCATTTTCAACAAGACAATGGTGAACCACAAACTGCATCTACTACTGTACGGTTTCTAGTTCGTTTCCAGGAAAATAAAGACCTCGCTTCAACTTTCACTCAGTTTTTATACATTCCCATTGGATCACAATGATTTCTCTCCACACACTTCAAAATGTGAAATTATTTGAGCAAATAAAGCCACTAATGTCGTACTTTGGGTTTTCTAGCTGTGCATAAATGATGTCAGGACTCAGCCTTGACCATCTTGTGTGTGTTTCAGGACCCAGGTCAGTGAGCTGGCTCTGGTCATCGCTCGTATGCAGAAGAATGCTGATCAGGTAGAGAAGAATATCCTGCGAGCCGAGCAGCTGCTGGATTCGGTGAGAACTCCTCCACATGCTCCACAGAGAGAGTGAATGTCGTGAAAAATGAAAATACGGTGTTGTTTCTGAGACTCCTGCTGCTCCTGTGCAGGACAAAGAGAACGATGCAAAGAACAAGCAGCTCGTCCACCAGAAGGAGGCTGCAGACAACCTGGCGCAGGCCGAGGTGCTGCTGAAGGACCTGTTCATGGACGTGTCCAAAGCCCGGAAGCTGAAGCATCCGCAGGCTGGAGAGATAGAGAGAGAGTATGTTTATTGTGGAGCAGACAACACACCTCAAACCTGAAGCGTCACATACCACTGATTCATCCTCACCACTGTTCTGTCCACATTCCTCCTCTGTGCAGTAAAAGGAAACTTGTTATTTCTGTTTTCAGCGTGAACAACCTGCACAGCCGCTGGGTGAAGGACTGCGCCACGTTCAGGGATCTCTACGAACAGGTCCAAGACTTGGACGTCTCACAGAAGATCGGCTGGGGTCCTCTGCTCCAGGAGAAACAGGTCAGTTGAACTGCAAACCAAAAATCTTTAGCTTCTTATCAACCGAAAACCTAAACAGCTGCATGTCTGACGTGTGACGTGGGGACCTGCAGAACAAGTTGAAGTCGCAGCCGTACGGACCCAAACTGTCTGACGTAGAGAAGCAGGTGGCAGAGCACAACATCCTGCACCAAGAGATCAAGGCTTACAGCAAGCAGCTGCAGCCCAGCACCACAACCAAGGTAACGCCACAGTGTGTGTGTGTGTGTGTGTGTGTGTGTGTGTGTGTGTGTGTGTGTGTGTGTGTGTGTGTGTGTGTGTGCG